ATACAAAATATTTTTGAAAGTATGATTAAATAACCTAATTTAATTATTGTTGAAATAACCATGACATTTTATAATGAAAACGTTTAAGAAGGATGGAGGTAACAATAATTTTGACATTAATAATTATTAATTAATATAATTAATAACAAAAAAATTAAACCTATTTTATATATTTTAAATATTTTTAGAATTGCAGAAATGCATAATTTGAATGTATTAAAAAAACAATAATATTAACTCACTTAATAAAATTATAAACCTTTGTCAACTATCAATTTGTACAGGCCAATTCTAACCTATTTTACATGGCCCAATTAAATCCAATCCAACCCAACACCTTAAATTAAAACCTACCCAACAACCCAAACCTAACCCTTCCCATAAAAATAACCTTTTACCCATCAGCCTCCTTTAATGACCATCGTATATTCGTATCTTCTTCTTCTTCATTCAGTCTATCGCGAAACACCGAGCCCCTGTTGATGTCTGTGAAGATGGTGATTTCTTCTTCGGTTGGCAGCCTGGGAAGATCAACATGGATGCTCCGTCTTGGTCCATACTCTTGTCATGGAGAAGCTAGATTCGGTCGTTCTTTTTTTTGTGAATACTGGAGTGGTTGTATGATTTGTGTTGAACAGTTGATCAGGTATGATTTATTGTTCTTTATTCGTTGTCTGGGGCTGCTGATTTTGAAAATCGTTGATTAGTCTTCTTACCCCTTTGCTTGTTGATGATTCCGGCGTAGTTGTTGCTATTTGATTTGAGTTGAGAGCGTGCGCTAGAGGTATGTTTTTGAGTTGATTAGTCTTCTAACCCCTTAGCTTCAAATATGATATATTTTTCTAAATTTTTATACGATTTAAAGCACATGTGATATTTTATGAAATTAAACTACTTTATTAGATCTGTATATTTTTTGTATTCATTTTAGACATGTGCTGAGATCTATAAGTTTTTACCGCGTTGCTTTAGTCTACTTTTATCCGAGGTTACCATTTTCTGACCATTGCAACGGCTAGAACGGCTGAGTGATAATCAAAGGATTGAGGGGACCTATTAAGGCAGAGTTAAAATCTCAGGTTTGATCCTCATCCCCTATTTTTTCAGGGTTTACTTTGCATTTAAAAGCCATCAAAGATTGAGTGCTTCGGAAAAAAATTCTGAATTTGAGTTGTTCTTAAAACTTAATGACATTAATCATTTGTTGTTTTTATTTTTTGTAAAGAATAACGTATTTTGGCTTGAAATTTAATGAGGTTTATTGGCTTGAAATGTAATGAGGTTTATTGGCTTGAAACATTTATTTATTTTACGAAGTATTTTTACGATTTCAAAATAAGAGATATGTAATGAGATCAATTTACTAAATCTGCATATTTTTTGTCACTCATATAGACATCTGTTCAGATCTATCAATTTCGTACAAATCTGTAAAATGATATCACATGTTTGAACCTTCAAGTATGTTTGGTGATATGTACACTACTCAAATTGTGTTTTCCTAAATCCTAAGGAATATAAAGCCAATTTACTAAAATGGACCTAGATTGGATCGTTTGTTCTTGCCATTGAGTATTCAAGTCTATAACTTTGAGAAACATTTATTATAGTCTTGACAATGATATACGTAGTATGTATTTATCAAGTGTTAGAAAGCATTAAAAAGAAAAAGAATTATAAGAACTAATTATAGAGATTGTGTCTTACCAATGTGTTAGTTGGCATCAATTACTCATTCTATCATCAATACGCCCTTTCAGTCAATTTTATTTCACTATAAACTTAGATAAACACTACTAAGAACACATAAATTATATCTGAATAATTTAAAAATTGCTGGTTAGTATGTAGCCATTGTTTTACTTAACTCATAGTATCAACAATATTCCCACTGTAATGGAAAAGTGGGATAATTATACGTGGGACAATTATATGGGCACATGTTAATGTTTTTAATATTTTTAATGCCATATTATATTTTATATATGCCAGTAAGTTATAGTTTATTGCACACCCTTCATGATTTTTATAATGTTCTTTTCTTATAAATTTAAGACCATGTCAGGCCTCCCCAGCCACATCAGTTTATTTAATCTGTAAACTGAAATCCAACATGTGTTTTGTATTCCACAATTTTTTTCTACCTTCAAACTTGGATTTGCAACATATTTTAAAACCTAGTTTACTTCTAACTATGACCTTGGACTTGGCAGATTTAGTATTCATGTGCAAGACATACTTTAATTAGATAGAACATAGAAGTATATACTTGTATATACGAGTATCAAGTAAGTACCTAGTACTTTAAGCTAAAAAGTGTGTATTATTATTGTTATATTGTCATTCTCATTTGTTGTTTGTTTTATGATATAGGGCTGATGTGGAATCTATTAGCATATATGTTGGAATTTAGAAAAAAATGTATTCCTTAGGTTTTCAGAGGCCTTCTTAAGGTGCCCATGTCTGTAATATTCATTAGTGATGTAATAATTATTTATAAGATTAGAATATATAGGAATGCAGGGTCCACTTCGCGCACAGCGAAATGGCCAGGTATGATAAATACGTAGTACACTACATCTGAATTTTTGTGAATTACAGAACAGTTTTTCCAAACAAAGAGTAGAGTTTGATCTGCTGAAACCCGAAGATAAAGTTTGGAACATTCTCAAGTGTATTCATAACGAAAAAATTCCTTAGTGCTTAAACAATGTTTTCTATTATTTTTTACCTAAGCATTCCCATCTGTGGCCTTTTGATAACAACATGAATTTAATCTCCCTGCAAAGAAATTTACATTTGTTCTTAAAATGCCTCAGCTGAATATTTAGTGCATAAATAATGGTATAATACTACCTCTTAATCAAGGAACACCATTTTCGGGTATAATGCAATGGGTTTTCTCTTATTTTGGATTTGAACATCCCCATCATTGGCCTCTTTATTATACCATGAATTTTTTCACCCTGCAACAAATAAATAAAAACATTTGTTAATAAATATGGAGAACAATTTTAATTCTGGTTATAATAACAGTTTGATACAACCTTCACACAACCCAGGATTTTTTGGTGTGATCAAGTTTCTTGAGTAATGAGCACATTCCTGAGTTTTCTGTCTTTGGAATATGTTGTGTGATGTTTTGTGATTGTATGGGATGTGTTTCTCAACCAAGAGACAATCTATTTATACTACAATTGGGCATGTGTGTAGTGCATTGATGGAGTTGATAAATTCGGACCAGTAGATAACAATAACAAAAACCAACAGACATATAGTTAATTTAGTAAGCGTGCTTCATAAGTTGCGATGCATTTAATGCATATGTACTTCCAAGATTGTGGATACTAACTTTTGGTCTCAAAATATACAACGCAGCCATTCATCTAATGCTATTCAAAAGTTTTGAAAAGATTGATATCTTGAAACATAACTCAGCTGTATTAAGTACAACACAATAATCCCTTTATTGTATTATACATCAACTCAACCGTATTTAGTACAGCATGGATATCAACTTTAGTCACAGGCATTTAATGCTGCATTGCATGTAAGATGCTAAGCCCATTTTTTGACCCATTTACGTTTGACCCGGTCTTGACCCAGTGGAATTGGGCGATAAATCTGCCTGTCTTTCCACTGTGGTTTGTATATAGAAAGATTGATTGTGCAAGAAATTGGGGTGAAAACATTAAATTTATTCTTTGTATATCAAAATTAGTTACGATTTTTTCATTACAACCCACGTTTTAAGGAACAAACTATAGTCATTTCACAAGGTAAATCTAAACACTTTTCTTTAACAAGTTGGGGTTTTAACAGTGGTGTATGGCACTTGTGACTCTCTTTTACGGAGTATTTATTATTGATGTTTTTTGAATTGTTCCAACTTTCGAGCGGCAAAGAATGTTTTTATAAAGTTTAAGGGTCATGGTTTAAAGTGCTTTCGGATTTATGCCTCGCCCCACTCATGTAAACCGCTTCAAGTCTGGAAAAAAAGGATGACATCTCATTCGTAAAAGACTCCAACATCGATCGAATAGTTAATTAAAACGGATGTAAATTGGACTATAATATTGCAAGCTGATAGATAGTTAGTGAAGTTGTGACTGTAGTAACTAATGAGGCCATATACATTTTTTACATTATAACATTTTATTGTAATTGTGGGATTCGAACTTGAGATATACTCCTTTTAATGCTCTTAAAGTGCCTCAAGTCTTAAAACGCATTTTCAAACATTGATCCTCATGACATTCCATGTATACAAATGGAAAAGGGTTTTAGTGGCAGAATATGATTTTAGCTTATTTAGATGTTAATTACTCCGTATGTTTTTTATCAATTAGTTGTTTAAAACTCTTGATTTAATTTTGACTTTTGAGAATGTTCTCTCTCTTATGCATTTGCGTTCTTGTTTAGCTCTTGCTAAGTGCTAAGTTAAGCACCGTCAGGGCACAATAAGAGAACTGGAAGTCCTGCTAGATTCGTCCTGTAGTACCAGTACCGACGAGACTGACTGTGATCACATTCGAACTTACCTGTCTAGAAGGCTTTGGAGGGTAGTCAATAGACTCCAGGATTAGGAGAGCGCAAGCACCGATACCTGAATCATAAAAAAATGACAGAACCGAAGGTCAGGGATGTACTCTTACACCTGACTCTTGACTCCTGAAGTACGGAGTAATAATATTGTGCGATCCAGGTTTTGAAATGTAACTAACGAATTTTTTGCATTTTTCCTACTCCAATTCATGCATACAAATTCATTTCTTGATTTCTCAACTTCAATATCCATCACACGTACGGCTTAATAGGAAGGGCTATTATTTTCCAAATTAATAATTAAGTCGCGTTTTTCACATTACAACCCACATTTTTAGTATATCAAAAAGATTTTAAATTTTGAAAATCTAAATATAGCAATTTAATCATTCAATTAGATGAGAGAATCAAATAAAGTTTACCCAAGACTGCCAATGTACATGAAAGAAAAATTAAGGGCCTGTTTTTTTTTTTTAAATATAAATGAAAGTTAAATCCATGTCCGTATTGGTTCCTCTAACATAAGTTTTTCTCAGTGTTGTGAGAAAAAATCACATCTTCAAATAGATAACAATGATTTTATTGAAAATAGATTATAGATACAATGAGACCGATGCTAGCAATGATTGTTCTATGAGATGAAGGCCTTTCTTCAGTGAGTTTTGACATGTTTCTCGAACCATCTTTGCTCTTTTCCTCATCTCCTTCATATCCATGAATCTCCTCAACAGCCCACATATCTCATCCCTCATGACCAAACTTCCATCCCCTTTCTGCACCTTTACCCCGACAATGAGCTCGCTGTTTGTGGTCTGGTCCCAAAATATAGGAAACGTGATGCCCGCAAAGGCGGCTTCTTTCGTCGAGTTCCAACCACAGTGTGACCAAAACCCGCCCACAGAAGGATGACACAAGAACTTAAACTGGTTGCACCAAGGCACAACCAAACCCCCATCACCATTTCGTCTATGAAACCGAGAAGTGTCTATGTCCCCTCCAGGTGCGACCCATAGATACTTAACCCCACTCTCGTGCACGCCAGCTATGATCTCATCCAATTGAGCGCTCGAGACCGATAGGAAGCTCCCTTGTGATATGTACAGGACGGAGCTTTTTGCCTGAGCGTTTAGCCATTTGATGACATTGTCTGATTCTTGATTCTCATCAGCAATGACCGGAGAGAGTTGTTCTTTGGTGCCAAAGTAAGGGATGGCAGGGCCTATTGGGTGGATCGGGATGGAGAGGTTTTCCCTTAAAGCGTCAATAGCGGAAGCTTCGAGTTCATAGACAGAAGTGAATAAAAGGTATTGTGCTTTAGGGACCATAGAGAAGAAGGCTTTAAGGACATCATCTATCAATTCTTTGCCTTTGCCAATAACAGGAGTGGGAAGATCTTAAACTTTAATTGCTGCAACTCCAGGAATATAGTTTACTAGCTCTGAAATATTGGAATTATTGGTGTGGCCCTTCTGAACAAGAAGGTCCCAATGCTGAAACACGGAAAACACGGTGGCCGACATGGTGTAAAGCGAAACCACCGGAATATTCTTCCGGATCCCAAGCGAAACCACCCAAGGCAAGTACGTGTCATGAAGAATCACATTCGGCTTAGGTCGCTCCAGCCTGTCCAGAATCTCCTCCACCGGCGCCTCCAGCTTGGTCTCGGTGGCTCTGTAGAAGCCCGGAAAGTCTTTCGCTCGGCCGATTTCAGATGGGATGACATCGGGGACGGTGAGGAAACAGATATTTTCCGGGGTTGGGTCAGAGCGGATGAATCCGTACCACTCCTGAGTGAGAATGAAGGTGAATAGTGTGAGGGGGCGGCGGGCGGAGATGAGCTTGCAGAGGTTCATCATTGGGTTGATGTGGCCGCGGCCGGGGTACGGCATCGCCACCACATGACATTCACTTCGAGCTTCCATTCAGGCAACCGTCGGTCGCTTACAACTCTCCTCTGAATCAGCTATGACTGGAATTCCAAGCCATCCAGCTTTTCTTCAATTTTCTATTTTTATTTTTCAATTTTTCTATTTCCGGTGTTTCTATTTTTTTGTTTTCTATTTTCAAATCTAAAAACATGTTCATCAATTTTTTCACCCAGTTCTGTGATCATCCAGAAGACTGACACGTTTACATCACACGTTACTAAATGGTGCTTATTAAGACTCGCGTTAATAAGCGACCCATAAAATAAGCAATTGTTATAAGATCATGTTTACTTCAAAAGGTTTAAAACACCGTTTAACATTAAAATGTCCAAAATAACCCTATACATATATAGACACTGATGTAAAGTGTACCCGGGGTAGCTTATCCGAGGGGTTATTGCGGAGAATAACTAGAGAGAAGTCAAAGCAAATAAGTAAGAGAGAGAGAGTGTATATTTGATATGTATTAAGCGTGGTTTACAATGGGGGAAAGGGCTGCTATTTATAGTAGTAATAAATGCTAGATAAGGACACATGTCAGTTTTCTGGTGGTCGAGGGGTCACCTCGACCGGGGTGGCACTGGCACTCGCATGTGGCCGCATTAAATGCGGTGGTTGGATGTGACGTTTGTACTTGGTACGGTGATCCAGGCGCATGTGAAGAGGATATTCTGTCGAGGTGGATGCCTTCGGCTGAAGGGTGCTGGGCCGAAGGCTCTTCTAACCGAGGGCTCCTACCTGCCGGGGGCTGCAGGTGCCAAAGGCTTGGTTTTCAAGCCTTGTTCTCCTGTGATGCCTCTTCTAACCGACGACTCCTACCTGCCGAGGGCTGCAGTTGTCGAAGGCTTGGTTTTCAAGCCTTGTTCTCCTGTGATGTTTCTGAGCTCGATTCCGTCACTGGTAGCCTTCGGCCATGGGGCCGAAGGCACCCCTTTGCATATTGTGGGCTGCTTAGAGCTCCATTTTGCTGGGCTTGGCCCGTTTGGGCCTGTTGGGCCTGATTGTAGTAGAGGAAGTATGTGGGTCGGGGTCCCTGTGCCATATACTCCATCAGGAGTCCCCCACTCCTTTTGCCGAAAGGTACTTGAGGGAAAAGGACTAGCTGTGGTGATTGCCCCGAAAGCTTCCCTGTTCTGTTGGGTGCCTCATTTTCTCAATTTCCCCATATGTCGAGGGTTGAGAGCTTCCTGAAGGGAGTGTAAGTGTGTTGCTGTATATGTTTCTTTGTTGTTGTTTGTAAAGTAAGGAGAGATCTGCATTTGTGTGCTTTGCCGAGGGCATTTGTTGACTGAAGGTTTTGTGTGGCTGAAGGCATCATGTGGCCGAAGGCATCATGTGGTCGGAGGCATCATGTGGCCGAAGGCATCATGTGGCCGAAGGCATTGTGTGGTCGGAGGCATCATGTGGCCGAAGGCATTGTGTGGCCGGAGGCATTCTGTAAGCCGAAGGCATCATGTTGAGGGGAGTAGATTGTCGTTGTGATCTTGCCTCAGCTTGCTGTAGCTGAGAAATAGAAAATTTTTAACATTTGCGTGTTTTTCCGAGGGGAGTCCCCCATTCCCCCACTCCTTTTACTGAGAGTTTCTCGAGGGAAACAGGAGTAGAGTGATGCATGCCTTCAGCAGGAGCCGCCGAGGGGTGACGCCTTTTGTTCCACAATGGGGAGATGCCTCGTTAAAAACCTCATTAGGAAAAAACCATGTGGGAAAAAATCCTAATGAGGGAAAAAGAGTACACCGGATGCCCTCAGAATGAAGCAACAGGAGTGCACCCTTCGGCCTTGATTGTTGAGCGGTGGTTGTGTCCGTCTGCTGAGGGGATATCCAAGATCAACCTTAGATCCTGCATGAAAAGCTAAGGAGCTTGTAAGGACCCCCCCCCCCCCCCCACGTTATCAAATAAAGGTGACGGAGGGGTGCAAGGCCAGGTGGGCTTGTGTGAGAGCCCCTGGCATCAAATGCAGATGCCGGAGGGATGGAGACCGAGGGGTCTTCGTGATGGCCCCCGACATCAAATAAAGATGTCGGAGGGATGAAGGCCAAGGGGCCTGTAAGATAGCTCCCGACATCAAATAAAGATGCCGGAGGGCTGAAGGCCGATGGCCTGTGTGATGGCCCTCGACATCAAATAAAGATGTCGGGGGGATGAAGGCCGATGGGCATGTATGATAGCCCCTGACATCAAATAAAGATGTCGGAGGAATGAAGGCCGAGGGACCTGTGTGATTGCCCCCGACATCAAATAAAGATGCCGGAGGGATGAAGGCCGATGGGCCTGTATGATAGCCCCCGACATCAAATAAAGATGTCGGAGGGATGAAGGCCGAGGGGCCTGTGTGATGGCCCTCGACATCAAATAAAGATGCCGGAGGGATGAAGGTCGATGGGCCTGTATGATAGCCCCTGGAATCAAATAAAGATGTCGGAGGGAAGAAGACCGAGGGACCTGTGTGATTGCCCCCGACATCAAATAAAGATGCCGGGGGGATGAAGGCCGATGGGCCTGTATGATAGCCCCCGACATCAAATAAAGATGTCGGAGGGATGAAGGCCGAGGGGCCTATATGATAGCTCCCGGCATCAAATAAAGATGCCGGAGGGTTGAAGGCCGATGGCCTGTGTGATGGCCCCCGACATCAAATAAAGATGTCGGAGGGATGAAGGCTGATGTGCCTGTATGATAGCCCCCGACATCAAATAAAATGCCGGAGGGATGAAGGCTGAGGGTTGCTGTGATGTGGAATCACGCTGAGGCCGAGGGCCGTTGTGATGTTGAGGCCGAGGGCTGTTCTGATGTTGAGTCCAAGGGCCGTTGTGATGTGGAATCACGCTGAAGCCGAGAGCCGTTGTTGATGTAGAATCACGTTGAGGCTAAGGGCCTTTGGTGATGTGAAATCATGTAAGGCAAAAACCGTTATGACATAGAGTCATGTTGAGGCCGAGGGCCATCTGATGTTGAGGCCGAGGGCCATTGTGATGTCCTTACGCTGAGGCCGAGGGCCGTTGTTGATGTTGAGGCCGAGGGCCGTTCTGATGCTGAGGTCGAGGGCCGTTGTTGATGTTGAGGCTGAGGGGCATTCTGATGTTGAGGCCGAGGGCCGTTGTTGATGTTGAATCACGTTAAGGTCGAGGGCCTTTGGTGATGTGAAATCATGTAAAGCAAAAACCGTTATGACATAGAGTCATGTTGAGGCCGAGGGCCGTCTGATGTTGAGGCCGAGGGCCATTGTGATGTCCTTAAGCTGAGGCCGAGGGCCGTTGTTGATGTTGAGGCCGAGGGCCGTTCTGATGGTGAGGTCGAGGGCCGTTGTTGATGTTGAGGCCGAGGGCCATTCTGATGTTGAGGCTGAGGGACGTTGTGATGTGGAATCACGCTGAGGCCGAGGGCCGTTGTTGATGTTGAATCACGTTAAGGCCGAGGGCCTTTGGTGATGTCAAATCATGTAAGGCAAAAACCGTTATGACATAGAGTCATGTTGAGGCTGATAGCCGTCTGATGTTGAGGCCGAGGGCCATTGTGATGTGGAATCACGCTGAAGCCAAGGGCCGTTGTTGATGTTGAGGCCGAGGGCCGTTCTGATGTGGAGGTCGAGGGCCGTTGTTGATTTTGAGACCGAGGGCCATTCTGATGTTGAGGCCGAGGGCCGTTGTGATGTGGAATCACGCTGAGGCCGAGGGCCGTTGGTGATGTGAGATCACGCTAAGGCCAAAACCGTTGTGGCGTAGAGTCACGCTAAGGCCAAGGGCCATTCTGATGTTGAGGCCGAGGGCCGTTGTTGACGTGGAATCATGCCAAGGCCGAGGGCCATTGGTGATGTAGAATCGAATTGAGGCCGAGGGCCTTTCCTTGATAGTTCCAGGAGTCCTCTGGGTGTATGTTCCTTCTTTCACGCATCGACCGAGGGGTTGATTCCCCGCCTCGGCCGAAAGGGGGTCCAAGTGATCCGTCCGGGGGTTCGTCTGTTAGTCCCCTGGCACTGGGCCGTGCCTTGATTGTGCCAGGAGGTCGTATGTTTGTCCTCCTGATGTGTGTTCCTTCTTCCAGGCTTCGGCCGAGGGGGTTGCTTCCCTACCTCGGCCGGAAGGGGGTCCAAGTGATCCGTCTGGGGGTTCGTCTGTTAGTCCCCCGGCGCTGAACCGTCCCTTGACCTTGGGGGGTCCCGTCATCTATTTACGGCGTGGGCTAGGCTTGGTCGGTTTCCGACGACTGCCGTTTCACCCCCAAGTTTGGGGATTTCGTCACCTCAGCCATTCTTTCAGGCATGTCGCCGTGCATTGCGCGTCGGCGACGCGGCGAGCGTCCCGCTCCAAAAACGCGGGCCTTTTGCAGGCCCCTCGTCTTAGAAACCATCGGCCATACCTGGGCATTTGGCCTCGAAGGGGCCGATAAGATGTCTGGATTGTGTTGTAGTTTACTTAAATTCATAGAAATAAGCGGAATACAAGGGGTGCGTTGTTTGACAACGACTTTGTTAAGATTCACCGCTCAAGGCCGAGGGCTCTAGGCCGAGGGGATGATAATTTGCCTCGAGGTCGAGGGCCCAAGGCTGAGACTAAGGCCGAAGGCGAGGAACATGATTAGCGGAGGTGGCGCTTCTTCGGCTGGGGCTCCTCGAACTCCTCGCCGTCACTGAGCCTCCCGATTTCATGTTTCTTCATTGCGATGTCCCCTTCTTCTTTATCAGTGTTCTCCCCAGTGTTTTTCCTTGGGGCATTTTTGATGAATTGGTGGAGCTCACCCCGTTGAATTAAGAGTTAAATAGCCTTCTTTAACGAGACACAATCGTCTGTATTGTGGGAGGTGCTTTTGTGGTAACGGCAATAAGTGCCGCCTTGGTGGATGGCGTAGATCTCCCTCGCCGACCGAGGGTCCTTGGGGAAAAGGTCCTGCTCTTCCGCATAGTTGAGGATAGTGCTCACCGGGTGCGTGAGGGGAGTCCTCGGCATGTCCAGCCGAGGTCGCCATTGGCGTTCGTTACGACCCTGCTGGATGTGGCTTCCATGGTCTCGGCCTCCGGCTGAGGGCGCATTTGGGGCCGGCGTGTTGTTTGTCTTCTTCGAGGGCTGGCCCTCGTTCTTCTTGAAGGAGTGGAGGTCGTCGGCGTCGGCGTATAGTCTCCCCCGCTGGAGTGCTCTGAGGTATGATCTTGGGGGATCAGTGATGAGGCTACGTGCGTAGGGGCTGCTGCGGAGAACCCCCTGGAAGAGGACGAGGAGGGTAC